GTGTGCGTGCGTGCGTGCGTGCGTGCCCAAGATCCTGAGAGGAGAATGGAGGAGAAGGGATTGCGGCATGGCCAGCCCCCCAGGAGGTGATTTCTCGCTTTCTGTCTCTCTACCTTTCTGATGAGCATGCGCGCCCTATAGCAAAAACCTCTCCAAAGAAATAAAATAAAATCACTTCTCCTTTCTAGGCCTTTTCCTCCTTGCTTATAAAACAATCAACTTGACTTCAATAATAGCCAAGCCCCTCCCTCATACACACACACACACACACACACACTCACACACTCTAATATGTTTATTATAAGAGTCATTGCATGCCCAGAGTAACTCCCCACCCTTCCCACCAGGCCAAGCTTTCCTTCCTGTGGGGTCTGTCTGCAGTAAGCAGGATCCAGACAGAGATTAAGCCGAGCCCCGAAAAGCATGAATGAATGAAGGGAAGCCCTCCCAGCACGGAAAAGAGAAATCTCTTCCTCTCAGCCGCTGGGCTCATTAATAATCCAGGGGCGGCTGTGGGGGCTGCTCTCTGCAGTGGCTTCATCAATATTTCAGCTCCTCCAGAGCCCCGTTCCTTAGCAACCACATCACCATGCTCTGTAAGAGGGCTGCTGGGCCGTGTGCTCCTTGTCCCCAGTCCTGTAGGTGCTGTCCCTGCTTGCCCTCATGGTCAGAGGTGGAACCAGTCACGCCAACCTGAGCGGACAAGCTTTGGTCCTCACAGCCCCCAGAGGTGAAGCTGAATGCAGGAGAGGGAGACCGATGGCTGGGCACGGCAAAGCTCTCACACCCCCTGTCCCCACCCCCGGGCAGGAGCAGAGGGGCAAGGCAGGGAATTTGGGAAGGAAGTCAGGGTGCATGACCCCAGCCTGCCCTTAGTTCTAGTACAGGTCAGGCTTGCCCTTGCCCTTGCCTCTGCCTCTTCACAGGTATGGGAAGCCCAAGCTCAGGTGTTCTTTTCCTTTTCGGCCCAGGTGCAGTGGAGGCTTGCCTCCTGCATCAGCTGAGACGTCGTGCCGCTGGCTTCCTGCGCAGTGACAAGATGGCAGCTCTGTTCACCAAGGTGGGGAAGACGTGCCCGGTGGCTGGGGAGGTCTGCCACAAGGTACAGGAACTGCAGCAGCGAGCAGAGGGCAGGTGAGCCCCAGGCCAACCCCTCCTGCCCACCCTCTGCTCCTTCTCCTGTGTGTGCCTTCAGTTCCCAGGACAGCCCACCTAAAGGTTGGCTTCCCGGGCTCGGTTCTTGGAGGACCTCTTGGGTGAAGGGCCAGCCTGACAGTGGGGCTGGTCTCCTGTGGGCACAAGGCCCTGTCCCCCTCCTTCAGCCTCCTATCCCAGTCAGTCCCCTGGCTCCCATCTTGTGGCACCAGGCCCCATGCCTAGACCACCACTTTGGGCTTGGATCTTGCACTTTTTTTTTTTTTTTTTTTTTTTTTAGAGATTTTTTTTTTGCTCTAGGATCCATGCACTCACCAGAGAGACAGACAGCGAGAAATCAACCCCACCCCTGGGGAACAGCCACACCACAGTCTCTTCTCCATTCTCCTCTCGGGGCTTTGGGCACACACACACATACGTCCTGCACGAGTTTCAAGCCACCAGGTCCGTGACTCAAGCCTCAATCAACCACATGGGAGTCCAGTGCCTTAACCACTACATCTGCTGACCCCAGATCTTGCACTTCTAAAGCCCTCCCCATCTTTGCAGGAAACCCTCAGCGGGCAGCCAGGAGGCCTTGCGGAGACAGGGCTCGGCCAGCGGGAAGGCCCTGGCCCTCAGCCCTCAGGCCTTGAAGCACATCTGGGTACGCACAGCGCTCATTGAGAAAGTTCTGGACAGGGTCCTACAGTACCTGGTGGAAAACTGCAGGTGACTGCCTTGTCCCCCAAGCAGCCCTTTCCTGGCCCAGCTCCTGAACAGTCCCTCAGCCCTACCCCTCAGCGTACTGACTTTCCTCTGCAGCCTATAGCATGCTTTCATTCCCCACGTAGCACACTCAAACAGGGACCACACCAGGCACCCCACAAAGCTCAGTCCTCATGGATTCGTTCCTTCCTGGTGACTGACATGAATCTGGTCTTTGTGGGGACATCCCTGCTGGTGAGCTTGACTGCCCTGGAATGAGTCCAGGAGCTCTGGCAGTCACCCTGCCCGTCTCTCCTCCTGGCAGCAAATACTATGAGAAGGAAGCATTACTGGCAGACCCTGTGTTTGGCCCAATCCTGGCCTCTCTTCTAGGTGAGCCTGAGACATAGAGGCCTGTGCTGGGCCAGTGGGGGCTGCGGGCCCGATGCTGAGGAGCCCCATCTAAGCTGCTGGCCTGTCTCCACAGTGGGACCCTGTGCCTTGGAATACACTAAACTCAAGACAGCTGATCACTACTGGACCGACCCCTCTGCAGATGAGCTGGTCCAGAGGCACCGTATCCGGGGTCCACCGAATCGTCAGGACTCTCCTGCAAAGCGCCCAGCCCTAGGGGTAGGTGGTCCTCTCTCTCATCCAAGCTCTCCTCACCCCTGCCTGTGGACCTGTAGGGGGCGGAAACTGGCCAACACTCAGAACAGGCCTTGGAGACACCTCATCGTAGTGGCCGCCCATGAGAGCCTGCTCCCACACCAATTTGCACAGATGCCAGGAGCCCACGCTGGTCAATGGCTCAGAGCAAGCTGGGACACAAAGGACCCTGGGGTCAGCATGGAAGCCCCAGAGTTGGCAAGCCCTGAGGCTGATTTCCCAAGCCCAGGGGCTGAGCCACAGCTTTCCCCACAGATCCGGAAGCGGCACTCAAGTGGCAGTGCATCGGAGGACAGGCTAGCTGCCTGTGCCCGCGAGTATGTGGAATCCCTGCACCAGAACTCAAGAACGAGGCTGCTTTACGGCAAGAACAACGTGCTGGTGCAGCCGGTAGGGAAGCTAAGCACCACCAGCTCTCCTCGCAGCCCCCCTCTTTCAAAGGTCCCAGAACTGGAAGCTTCAGCCATAGTCATTACTTTCCTAAGGACGTGACCAGAGAGAAGGGGTGGGTGGCCCCACTCCCCACTTCACTGTTTCATGTGACTCATGCCCCTCCTGGAGCTGGCAGTAGCCATGGCTGGCATCTGCTGTGGCTAACTCAGAACCAAGCCAGCCAAGGGTAGGAATGGCAGCCAGCAGGGCGAGTGCCCAGCTTTGGTGTGGCTGGCCCAGGACACATCTGGCATCTAAGAAGCTAACAGGACAGAGCCACTGGCACCGGGCCAGCCAAAGAGAGGTGGTGGCCAGGTCTGCTCCAGTACCCCTTGTTTCCACCCAGCTCCTGGTCCGGGACCCCACAGCTGGCCAAGCTTCCTCTGCTCCCACCAAGAGCTTGCTTTCCATAGGCCATCCCTGAGCGTATCTCAGCCCCTTGTCTCTGTCTCACGGTGTGTCTCCTCCTTACAGAAGGAGGACATGGAGGCCGTCCCAGGCTATCTCTCCCTGCACCAGTCTGCTGAGAGTTTAACTCTCAAGTGGACCCCCAACCAGCTCATGAACGGAACTCTTGGGGACTCCGAGCTGGAAAAGAGGTGGGGGCTTTGGGACTTGCTCTGAGGAGCCAGGGAAGGGAGTGGGGGATAGGGAGACCCAGCCTGCACTGGGCGATAGCCCTCAGTCCTTATCCGGAGGCCAAGAGTCAGAGAGGGGCCACCTGGAGTGATACCCCAGCTAAGGCTGAGCCAAGTCTGGGCATGAAGAGATTCGCCTGAGCCAGGCTTGTAGACAGCTGAGTCTCACAGGCCCTGGCCAGGACAGCATAGTACTCAGCGGTCACCTCATGGCTGTGGTCATCTCTTCAGGATCAAATCACGAAGTGGTAGTTCCAGGAGACAAGGAAGACAGGGTGGCAGGTCTAGGGACACAGTGACACCAGTCTGGTTCCTTTCTAGCGTTTACTGGGACTATGCCCTGGTGGTGCCCTTCAGTCAGATCGTCTGCATCCACTGTCACCAGCAAAGTAAGCTGCCTTGTCTCGGCCCCAGGGGCAGGAAGGGAGAGACCACGTCTCCCCGCTGTGCGCCGTGCATGGGGCCTGTCGGACTTTCTGTCCCCCACCTTCCATCCCTGTTAACAAGGCATCTGGGCCCTCTGTAGCCCAGCTGCCCTCCTCCTACCCAGCCTGGGTAGCCTGGCCAGCGGGCTGCACTGGTGGACAGGGAGGCCTGAGGGCCCAGCCTCACTTGCTCACACTCACCCCCCCAGAGAATGGCGGCACACTCGTGTTGGTGAGCCAGGACGGCATCCAGAGGCCACCGTTGCACTTCCCACAGGGGGGACACCTGCTGTCCTTCCTGTCCTGCCTGGAGAATGGGCTGCTGCCTCGAGGACAGCTGGAGCCCCCACTCTGGACCCAGCAGGGGAAGGTACCGCAGGGCATGGGAGTCTCTGGGTGAAGGGCTCCATGGGGTTTGCCGTCCACCTAACCTTCTTCCTTCCCCCTCTGAGTTCCTGGGAACAGCCTTGGGTGGGGCCCCGCCTAGGATTCTGCCTGGCCAGGCTGACCACCCAGCACCCCCAACAGGGGAAGGTGTTCCCCAAGCTAAGGAAACGCAGCAGCATGCGGTCCGTGGACGTGGAGGAGGTGGGCGCCGGGCGAGCCACAGACTACGTGTTCCGGATCATCTACCCTGGGCACAGGCACGAGCACAGTGAGTGTCCCGAGCTGCACCCCTGCAGGAGGGGAGGAGGACGCTCAGCGAGCTGGGGAGCACAGTGCCACCCAGGAGGGCCGGCCGGCAGGGCCACTGACCAGGCCAGGTTAGGACAGGAGGGGCATCACTCAGCCTCTCGGCCGGACCACTGACCCCGTCACCGCTTCGGAAAGTGCCTCCCTCCTACCTGGCTGTCCTCCCTCTCTCTTCACCCCAAGGCTCTTGGCTCTGCAGACCCAGGTGTCACTAGATTCTCTTAGTCATCCTTTTGTGCCCTGCCTCAGAGAAAAAAATGTGGAGGGACTGGTAATAGAAGGCGGAGGGTTGTCCACTTCTCTCCCCCTGCTGCCCACTCTCCACAGGCAGGCCAGGTGTGGGAGAGGCGCTTCTCTCGGTGTGGCACAAGGTCGTTCACTGACTACCCCAGAGCCAGGGCCCTCCCAGACTAACTGCTGATGAGCGGAGCTTTAGCTGGAGTGCGGGCTGTCTCTGATGGGATACTCGGAGCTGCTTGGCACACTTCAGAGGCCGGGGGTCTGAAGGCAGCTTGGCCTCCCTGGGTTCTGCCATGCCTGGGTGCATACCCCTGGGCCCGAGGGCATCTGTCTGTCTCAACCACCGACACTGACGTTCCCTTTGTGGGCAGAGTCTGCTCCTGCCCACGGCTCCCTGGGCTGGACTTGCTTTTCTCAGAGAGGAGGTCAGGGAGTTGGCCAGCCATTTATTGCTACTTGGGCCTCCTGCTCCTAAACTTCCTAACTTGGGCCAAGAAGTTGTGGACAAGTTGTCTCTGTATCAGCGAACAGATTGCCAAGCCAGCTTACACACAGCCACGGCACTCATACTCCCAGCAGGCTTGGGGGACACAGGTGTGGGGGCCTCCCCTCCCCTCCTAGGCGTACCTGACAAGGATATGCAGATCTGCTCTTTGAGCTCGGGCTGTTGCTCAGATTTGATTTTTCTATCTCTGCTTCCTGTCCTCAATCCCTGGCATGTCCCGTCTGGTCACTTCACTTTAAGAACCACTTCCCCAGAGGGTGAGCCAGGGCACCTAGGACCTGAACCTCAGCTGAGTAATGCCCACTGCTCAGGGAGTAGCAGGGTAACTGGGGAAACCCTTGAGGAAAAGGTGGAATTTAGACTTTACAGAGGGACTTGGAGTAACCTTCAGATCTGGTCCAACCTGACTGTGACACGAGCTAAAGGGTGATCAGGGCCCATCTGCCAGCTGTCATGCCCCACCTTGGCCAGGGCTGGTGAGCTCC